AAGCGACAAATTGAATGCCTTTTGTGATGCCAACACATTTGAATGCGTTAAACAAAAGCCATTATTATTGTCTGGAAGTGATTCATTAAAACAACAATTTATTGTAAGAATTTGTGTATTTTATTGATATTTAAATCATTTTTCCTTATCAATAATTTTAGGATTGCATTAAAAGTCAACTAAAAAACTAATGTAGACTAAAAAGAGGACTCATTATTTAATAATATTTAAATATATAATTTTTAAAATATAATTAAATGTTTAAGTAAATTATTTTTTGTATTTTGAATTAAAATTATTATTATTTAATATATGTATGTTGTAATTATGTTTGTTATAAAATATATAATTGTAGAAATAATATAAATAGAAATCAATCTTATGATCAATATTTGATTTATAGGTTTTTTAAAAGCATAACATTTTATGTCAAACAACTGAACAAACATGTCATTATTATATTATAGTGTAAATCACAAAATCAATTAATAATTATTTATTATATTTGAACAGAATACATCTATTCAATTTATGTTTAATTATCATGTGTTAAAATACACATGATACATTAATATTTGATTTTTTATTATTACGCCTAACATATAATTTACTATAAATGCTAGTAAATTAATTTACATAATAGATTAATATTAAAATTAATTTTAATTTCAAAATTATCTATCATTAAATTGCTTATAATAATAGCAGCAATGAAATTATTATTAATTATAGTATTGAGTAGTGTATTAAGTGTTTGCTATATGCAAGATATCCGGACTAATGTTACCAAACGATTTGATGACATGTCGAGTGTCTTATGTGCCGATAAATTGCAGATAAGTGATGACCAGTTGGCAGAACTCAGGACCCAATGTGAGTCCAATAACACCACTGCTGTAAGTCATACCTGATATAACAATGCATACACAATGTATACATACAAATACATACAAATGCTACATAATATGTATAATATTTAAAATTCAAACAAAACATGACTTTCCTATGAAGAGAGACGAAGTGCTCAAAACATGTCTCAACACAAAGGAGTTGACGGACCGCCAGAAAGTGACATCAATTTGCGGGACACAGAAGACCTGTATTGTCGACCATTGGGTTAAAGTCTACGAAAATGCCAAACCAGAATATTTGAACATATTTTGCGATATGAGTGAAAAGTTTATCGTGAGTTCATTAAGCATATTAATTTTACAAAACTTTTATTGCTAATTTAAATACTTTATTTAATTTATTTGTAGCATTGCATTAAAAAAGTGCTCAAGGTAAATTAAAGTATGCTTCCCACCGACTGTCCCAACTCGATGGCATTTTAAATGAATTGTTAATTATTTTTTATTTATTTTAACATTTTATCTTTTATTGAATGC